AGGGTCCTCCACATCCTCCAGAGCCGACTCATAGGGCCCCTCGCTGTCGGAGTCTGGTGGCAGCTCCAACGGCTCCTGCTGGGCCACAACACTTCTGACCAGCATTATCTCTTTTTCAGTCCTTTTCAACTAAAATAATACTACTAATCTAAACTGATAGAGTTTAAAATTCGCTCCTGTAGATGCGTTATTTCATTTCATATTGTCTAACATTGTTCCTTTTTGGTCATGATGCAGAAGAGTCTTCCAGTTGTTTTAGAAAACGGGAGTAACAGCAAATAAAAATAAAATAAACATTGTAAAGTGTATAAAAAAATCACCGAAGAGAAAATGAAGATTTATCCTTCTAGCTCAGATATTCTCTTGGCAGAATGCCAACAGAATAAGTGCAAAGAAATACACAGGCCTTAATGACCCATAATTTTCATAGAGAAATGAACAATGTAATTTGTTTCTGCATGGCAAATGATCTTTTTTTATAATTTTCTATTAATTATACACTGTAAAGTGTCTTACATTTCATCTGATTACTTCAGAGTTACATGGCACAATGATATCCTTTCTGAATCTTACTTGATTTAGAGCCTCAAGGCTAAACAGAGAAGTTCATCAGGCAAGACAAATCATGTGTTTAGAACTGGGGACGTTTTCTTCCAAATAAGAGGCCATATAATCCACATAAAAGACTTACTGGGGATATGAAATTAAATAAGATGTTCTTTTTTCCGATTCACTAATATTTCATCTGAAGCATGAATTAATCAAATGCTGAAAAGAAGACGTTCATGCTTCTCACATCTTTTTAAAAAAGGTGATCAATTAATAGAATCCCTCCTGATAATTTCTAGCCAGCTACTCCACCTTTCCAGCATAAATGGCTAAATTAGTCACCGTAATCGATTTGTCTTAAATTTGTCTTTGTACTTATGGGTGCCCTAGGCCCTTGGTATGAATTTTCTTACCCAACTGATTTAAATTAGTTGTAAGATTCAGTTTTTTAAAATAAGAAACAGCCATGTTGCAGAACTAAATTTTCCAGTGTCATCATTATTCTGAAGAACGTTTCAGATGAAGTATCTAGGCATTTGTAAAAAAAAAAAAAAGGGGGGGGGACTTCTGAATTGGCTACAGTTTAGTACTTTATTTGGAAATATACCAGAGGTGGGTTCCTACCAGTTCGCACCTATTCGGTAGAACCGGTTCGTCAAATCTACCGCACCGGTTAGAAGAGGTTCCACCAGTGGACCCGGAAAGCAGGCCANTTCTGATCGACAAGCTCAGTGTCTTAGCCACTGAGCCACCACATCCCAAGTGTTGGTAGGAGTGGTCCAGTGGTGGGATTCAGCCAGTTCGCACCTATTTGGGAGAACCGGTTGTAAACTTTCTAAACAGTTCGGAGAACTGGTTGTTGGAAGAAATCTCTTTTTTCCCCCCACTTTACAGGGATAATCCTGTAAGGAAGGCAGGAAGGAAACATTCTGGTGTTGTTTCTAGCCTAATCTTTATTGCCCTGCTTACAGAAACTGCCTCTCTGATTAACCCATATTACATTGTAACAGCTAAGGTGAACTGCCCATCAATGTGAGTGATGTTGAGTTGACCATGCTCATCCAGTCACATGACCACTGAGCCCCGCCTACCCAGCTGGTCATTAGGGCAGAGAACCGGTTGTTAAATTATTTGAATCCCACCACTGAACATATACATATGCCAGTTTACATAAAGCAAGGCAACTGTAAATAAAATGAAGTATAGTAGTCTATTAACCAGATAAATCATAACTGAGAAAATACCCATTTTTTTTATACAGAGGAGCAGTTAGTGAAATAATCAAAACTGTAAAAGGCATCCCTTGGATGTATTTGTTTTCCATCAACCCCAAACACAGCACTTGAACTTTGAAAGAGAGTGTAGCCCTGTCCTGTTCTTGTTGGAGATCTCCATTCCTGAATGGTAAACTTCCCAAGCTAGAGTAATTCTACTTAATGTAGTTTATCTATCTAATTACTCTAGAGGTGAAGGAACCAGACTAGAACTCAGGACACTTTAAGTTCTAGTTCCACTTTAAGCTTAAAAGCTAGCCAGGTAACTTCAGGCCAGCCACTTATCTTACAGGTTTGTTGTTGGGGAAATAGGAGAAGAGACTATTAGCTTTGTTCACCATCTCGAGTTATTTATATATATAAAAAAATAAAGACAGGGTAAAAATGAATACAGGTTATGACTGTAATGGAGCCTGACCATTACAGTTGCAAGTTGCAACGGTCATTAAGAGAAATGTCAAGCCTAAGGCCCCATCCCTGCTCTCATCAATGAATCATTAAATGAATGTACAGGTTGTTAGGTGGAGAATTAGATGCCTCAGGGGGTTCACCGACAAATGCGCGATAGACATATGCGCACCGACAAAACCGTGATGCCAAAACCGCGACGTCAAAATCACTAATTGATTTTCGACAATAGCGCGCAGACAAATGCGCAACGACAAAATCGCACATATATCCGTTATAACCCTAACCCTAACCCTAACTTTTTTCGATTTTATTGTCATTGCGCTTTTGTCGGCACGATTTTGACATCGTGGTTTTGTCAGCGCGCATATGTCTATCGCACATTTGTCAGGTCACTGCCTCAGGGGTGGGGCAGACCCTTGGAGGCCTAGCACAGACTCAGGCCTGCCTGCTCCAGGCCTCTCCCACCCCTGAGAGACTTGATGCTCCCTGTCCCTTGGGATTTCCCCAGGCCGAGTCCTG